TTATTATTTCTCAATGAAATCAAGGCAAGACGCGCAGCGCGGCATGGTTTTGTGCCTGCCGACATGAAATGCCTGCTCAAGACCTTGAGGGCCAGTGTTCGTTCTAAAAACTTTATTGACTGTGAGTTCTGAACGCAATTTGAAGTTTCAACTTCTCCATCTCGCGAAGGACCCTGCGCGCAAGCCCGACGTGAACAACGCAAAAGGAAACCCAGTGGCGGCGTCAGCGCCTCCCTGATACGAGGGTCGATGAGGTGGAGGATTACGTCGAGGTGCCCTTCCCCTCTCCAAGGTTTTTTGAGGACATCTTTCCGGCATGTTGCGCAATCGTGCCCAAGTTTCTAAGTCACCTAGTGCATTGATCACCCGTGTTTGACTAAAAAAATGTGTCCATAGAATCTGGCCTCTGAGAAGTGATCAATTTCAACGTGCAATTGGTCCGATCGATTTGTCTGGTCTGGTCAAAAGTAAATTGGTCTGATCAAAGGAACTGGTCAATTTCAAGTGCGGGTAATAATGCCAAATAAGTAGTTTCAAATGGCAATGGGTAAACAAGACGTTGGCGGAATCTTGACACCAGTCAATACTTTTTGACACAAAACTACACATGTCAAGCTAGCAGCACATCTTTATCAAACCGTTGGTCGATATTCCGGGCCGCCACAATTTAGCCAAAAATTGACAGGCTAATAAAAACTTGGCCCATGTATCTCAAAATACGAAAAGCTTCGGGAGGTATATGCCCAAACGTGGCATTTTAAAAAGCTTGGGTGCTGGTCAACGAGTACACAGTTTGAACTCCATCGAAATGGTCCGCTCTGATTAACCTTAAGATTCAACACGGAATGTTTCAGGCAATCTTAAATGCCCACCTCACCCTTTCAAGCTTTAGAACGCGCAGGCTTAACCTTATTAGCCTACCAATTTTTAGGTGAGAGTTCTAAATATTGATGTACAACTTGATATAAAACTGCTGCTATATCATATATCACTGCTTGACATATAAATGCTGCTATATTGACAGGCGTCCCAAAACTTGGTTGAAGCTGGGTCAGGCATGCACCAGAGCGCCCAAGTTCTCGGCGCGCTGCCAGGCCATGATTCTAATGGGGTAAATCAAGGTAAAATGCTACCGAAATGAAATTATGCATACTCATGCTATCATAAAAAACTCGGCGCAAATTTCGGCGATTGCATGACTGGTTGCGGGTTCATATGAGTGAAGATTATCGCATTCGTTTCATGTCTGTCGCAAGAAACGACATTTGATCACCATGTGAAATAATGAATTTCATCTGAGGAGCTACAGTGGGTTCTAAAATTTTGCTAGGTGCGGTTCAAAGTGCCTTAAGATAGGTGCCGATACTGAGTTATTAATGTTTGCCTATTTGACTAGCAGTAGCAGTTTCAGGCCGACCGAACTAGCCCCTCAAAGTTCCGCTGGTTGGATAGCGGGGAGGGGGAGGGCTGATCAGTCTCCCTCTCCCGGCATGCTTCCTGGACCTGGTGAGCACGTTTCTGGGGCGCTTGGTTCTGATGTGTAGAAGGCAGGTGATGCCTTCCCGAGTACATCGTGTTTCTATCAGTTGGCCTAGGCGCAAAGACTCTGGCACATCTCGGTGTGTCTCGATGCGGATGGCATGATACCTTGCTTGTCCACTGCTACGACACTATTGTTATTACTGCTGCTTCCTCCGCCTTCGGCACTTTGTAAATATATCATTATCTGATATCGTGTTGTATGCCTGCGTTGCATTTCTAATTTACACGCGTTTTACATTCGGTACATCCAAACATATGTACTGAAATTATTAGTTTGCTTGGAGTTGAAATCCTCCCGTATATGACCTGCATCTCACACATGGGCAGAATTGTCGTTTTTCGGGGACGAGTTGTTCTTCCACCAGCCTGCTCACACAATGCTGATGGTGAGTTCGAAATGTCTTATGTCGTCGCGCGGTCAATATTCAGCCAGTTTAAGAAGGTTTAAGTGTTAATCGCGATAAGACAACTGTCAAATTTTCAATTCAGCATCAAACTTAGTAGGCTCACGCATGAAAGTAGCCAATGCCGTTACCGAGCATCATGTGACGTTTAGACTAGGATGGCGGGCAATTGAGCCGAAAATATGACTCGGTGACGGAACAAAATAAAGGAAAGGCATTTGCATGCATGATGTTACGGTATCTCGAACCCAGCAAGCACAGCTTACATTCCAAAACGCAGAACGCCTGGGGGAGCAAGATGCAAGCATTTAGAAAATTGGTTATAACCCAAGAACAGCACTAGCATCATCTATAAACCAGACGTTGGTACCAGTGGCGCCACCTAGGTCAGCGCTGCAACACCTGTGCAAAATGACTTGCAATTCAAAGTCAAGGCACTGAGCTTCAAAAGCACACCTGGCGTCCGAAAGACCATACGTGTTGCCTAACGCTGAAAGCGTTTCAGCCGTCTGTGCTTTCTCAATCTGTTAAAAGGCCGCCTCTGAAAAACCTTTTCTAAGGGCTTACAGTGCTGTGGTTACAGTGCTGTGGCTTGTCCGGGCGCCCCGCCGTGACGTCACAGCGGGGTTGCCAGATAATCTTTGAGGGTCCCTGGGCTGCATTTTGTTTCTAATGCATTCGGAGGGAGCATTGGCCTCCGCCCCTTCTGAGAGATCGGAAACTTTTTGAACAGACTAAGCCTCAAACCAGGACTTGTGTCGTGCCTTGATGTGGAAGTCTTGTACATAGATAATTTACGTAAAACTTTTGTTACTGAGAGCATTTTCGTGGATGAGTTTTGTCCGCGAAAGTGTTTGCCATAGAAATAATGCCATGTGAACAGTTTGACTGTAGCTGTCCTTTCGTGTAGAAGTTGTGTTGCGTTCAACTGTTGCCTGTGGAATGTTTGTCACGTAGGAATTTTCCGGAAGCGTTTCATCGCGTGTGAGCTGTGTCACAAAATCTTTTCCCGTGAGAGTTTTTCACTTTGCAGTTTGGGTTTAAACGTTTTGTGGTACATAAGTTTTGTCTGTAGTTTTTGTGACATTCTGCCCTAAAAAAGTTTTCCCAGCGGTAGTTTTGACACGGAGAAGTGGTGCAGCGATGAGTTTTGTCTTCAGGCCTCGTCACAAGAAAGTTTTGTCGTTAACAGTTTTCTTCGTAGCAGTTTTAAGCTGGAACCAAATGTGGTAAATTCATTGGCCACTCAAATTGATTGGCTAACCGCCAGCAGACATATGGTCGACGATATACCAGAAGTGAAATAGGACTGTTTGCAGTTTTATTGGTATTAAACTGAAATTGAATAAGTACGAATGTTGTATATCTGATGGGTGACTCAGGTGACTGGCTATTGTCACGTTACTGACTGGGTGGAAAGAAAAAACATGACTGCTTTTATATGTGTATGGCGGAGTTCAGGAGTCGACAAGCACGTGCCTTTTCGTGTCGTTTGATAGCTAATGCTTTTGGGTCTCAGTTAGCTTGTTCCATGTTTACTTGGCGCCGTGGTAATGCTCAACGCGGAGCGGAGGGTAACAGTTTGGCATATGTATTGGCTAACAAGATCCATCGTCGTAGGGCACAAGCAGGTCCATAGTCCACTTCAAAGTCCGGTACGCTTCTCGTGGGAAAGCGATTTAGTCCCTGCAGAGGAAGCTCCTGAGAGACGGGTCTGTGCTAAACCCAACTAATGGACGAAATGGGTGGATGGAATACAAAAGAACGGCAGATGGCATCTCATGGGTTAAGGGTATCACCGAAGACCCCGCAAAATACGTCCCAAAGATCGTGCGCGATGTCAGCGCCGATCACTGAACCTTGCGGCATATCCTGAAAAATGACGTAAAATCATTTCCCCGGGAAGCGGTCATCAACCAGAATCTGGTAAGCACGGATACAGCAGTGAGCGACATTAGCCATCTTGCTGAACACGAAGGCTGAAATTAATCCTGCATTTCTAAAGTGATTTAATGACGAGGCTTCTTTCCGCCTGAATGGGGGATTTCAATGATTGAGGTAAGATCCCGAAGCTGTCTGATTTGGGGGCTTAGAAGGCTAGGCTGTCAGGCACCGTTTAGGGAGACCCACTGTACTGGCCGATGGTGATAGCGTGGTGCACCATGAGCTCCAGTGGCTTAAGGGCCCATCTTCAAAAGGTGCAAATGGTTCCAAGGACACAGTAAACAATTACCGGTACCTCGGTATGCGGAAGTACCAGGTGGCGAGTAAAATCACGGCCTCACACACAAACTGGGTCAAATGGGGCACCTGTTATTGATAGTTCCCTGAGAGGTGACAAGGTATGAGTAATGTATGGCGCAAATATCCATGGCTTGATAAATATTTTGCATCAGTATTTGGCAGCGTGAGTTGTCACTTCTTTGCTATGGTTAAGTGAAATCAGGATAGTTCTTTCATCCTGTACATATAGTGATCGCTATGCCTACACAACTAGGGTAGATTTTCTCTGTGGCAGCCTCTAAAAATAAGACTTCCTTTCACCGTCCTCCCAACACTTGTCAACTCCCTGGGCAAAGTCAGCTCATGCTCAGTCAACACCCTGGGTAAAGTCAGCTCATGCTCAGTCAACGCCCTGGGTAAAATCAGCTCATGGTTTGCTCCAACGCGTTTTTTTTGCACGTCAGGTGTTGCGGCAGTTTTACCGATTTCACAAGGTTCGATAATGTTGTTAACTAACTAGACGTTACATAAATTGCTCTGTAATTTGCCCATCCCACTAACTCCGTCTACGTCTCACCTCACGGTTGTGCCGTGCCGTGGTCCGAGCGGTCACGTAGCGCAGTTTTCTGCGGGCCGCCCGTCCGTCACACGTCTCAGCCGGCTCCCCCCCCCCTTCCCCTCCCCTTCCCCCAGCAGCGGCAGGTGACGCTCTGACCCTGCCGCCGCCTCGTCGGCTGGGCCGGGAAGAGGAGGGGAGGCCGGCACGTGGCAGGCCGCGCCAGTGCGCTCATGCGCCGCAGGTGGGCCGTCGGCGCGCGCCACTCGGTCGTCAGCCGCGCCGCCGCAGTGAGCGCACGAGCGCCGGACGACCGCCACGCGCGGCACACATCGGCCCAGACGCCACCATGGCCGACCGGCGTATCCCCTTCCTGGGCTTCGGCGGCGGCGGCGGCGGCGATTACGAGCACGCGTTCGAGCTGCGCCCTCAGCACGTGCCCGTGCAGAGCCGCCACTTCGCGCCGGGCACTTACGACGCGTCTCGAGCCAGGTCTCGCCAGCGGTCGACGCGTGAGCTGGAGCGGTCGCGCCGCTGGCAGAGCAGGCTGGGCAGCGGGGCGGCGCAGGAGGAGAGTGACCTATCGTCCACCATGAGCAGCGGCGTCGGCCCGCTTGACTGGAGACTGGCCGACTCCCAGCACCGGCTGACCGGAGAGGTGGGTCCACAGCCGTCCAGAGCGGCCGAGCGCCACGGCTCGCAGCGGCGGCACGCCCCGTTACCATGGATACAAAAACTTGGTTTCAGTGCGGCATTCCAAATGCATTGACAGCCAGTAAGGGCTGGAGAAAAGAGTACCGGGTGAGAAGCATAGTGACAGATCTTTAATCATCGTTTCTGTCACTCACGCCGGCTGGCTAGTCCGGGGAGCATATTTGCTTTCAACTGAAAATCGGAGGCAGTGTTTAACTTTCAAGCGAGACCGTTGGGTGAAGTATGCCCGGAACGTGGAACGGTGAGAACGCCGTTTTTAAAATTAGCTCGTTCCCTGCATTTTAAAGGCGCTATTGTCAAGTTTGACGAAAAATGGGAGCAGGGCAATACGCCATTCCCCCCACCCCCGATTATTATGCTGTTGTCATTCGCATAGATTGAGTCACGTTTGCACACTAACCTAGCAGGTACTACGGGAAATTGAAATCGATGGGAACTGAGGAACTCGTGGTTACAGGAACTCGGTGCGAGCCTTAAAGAATAGGCGTTAAATTTGTGCTCTAGCAATACCGATAAAGTGGCGTTGTTCCGGCTGCTTCCAATCCCCCTAAATTTCTTGGACATGCCGGTATACTCGCAGACCCCTAGCTGGAATGTCTCACGGTCATAGACGACCAAGCGTACGTGGCTCGGTGGTAGGCTACCCAGCACGAGAGAAGCCCTGCCGTGTCGAGGATGCTTGCACAGGTGTCTCTCTATAGGCTCGTCACGGCCGTAGTTGACTTGGTTACATGGGAGGCTGAAACATACGATCTGGATGTTTGGCTTGCAAACCGCAAACAAGCATAACTTGAATGGGCTGCTCAAATATTCGCCGTGTTCCTAACACACTTTTTTGAGGACCCACTTGTTCGAATCCATGCGCGGTCATGGCTTATCTGCAGTGCCCATTGGCCGGGGCCGGTCTGGCCCCAGCCCTCTTGATGTAGTGCCCTGCCCGGGCTGCCCAGAGCCCCTTGGTGTCGTGCCCTGCCCGGCCTGCCCGGAGCCCCCTTGGTGCAGTGCCGTGCCCGCACTGTCAGACCGCGTGCGCAGCGCCAGGCTTGGCAGACTTGTCCCACCACGGACCGTAAGTTTCCCACGAGCATTTCACTCCGTTTCTCGCTGTGTGGAAATCGGGACCGCTAAAAGGCACACGCGCGTGGAAAACGCTTGACACGCTGGGGTCCAGGCTTTCCATCCGCAGTTGCTGGTTAGTGGGCACAGTCCCGTTCGCTGTTCCTGGATGCGTGTGTACGTCCCGCCTGTCTCCTACGGTGCAGGGCCTTGTGCATCCCGCAAAGTAGCCCTGGCACGGTTCACGTGTTCTGTTCTCACCCGTTCCGATAACCCCTGCAACTGGACTGCTCGCGGCGCGGGGGCCCCGGCGCCACGCCACATTCTCCACCGCTCCGGGCAGAAGGGCACGGCCAACTCTCGCCCAGCGACACCAGACGTCATTCCGAGGTGATTGCTAACGATGAAGGACGTGTGCTTAAAAACATGGGTTAATGCCTTCGCAATCACCATGCTGCATCTAGAATGATGCGTGGACATCTCAGCTTGGAGAATACCACTATAGACTGTTCCAAAGAGCCCCACGATCTTTCTGCCCTCGCAAAGCCACCCACGTCGATCGGGTGCCCTCAGCCCCGCCACGTGTCCGTGAAACGGCTACATTTCAGGCTGCCAATCGGCGGCTCTGTGGCCCTCGGCACAAACAGTCATACATTTCTTATGGGATACGACGACAGGCTCGCCCCGCCCCGCCGCCGCCCGCCGCACGCGCGTACGTATTGATTTATCGAGTGCGACGTGGTCCAAGCCACAGTCCGGCCCTCGGTAATGCCTCTCCCGAGAACCGACGCTGTGTACGCACGAACCGACGCCGGGGCGTGGCGTCTCGTTTGCACCGCTTGGTATGGATTAGCCTAGCGGGTCCGCACTCTGGTAATAAGGGATGTTGGCATTTACTGTTAAACGTCGGCCGATGCTAACATCGGTCATATATCATCCACGCCGAGAGCTTTGGCTGACATTCATGCCGAATGCGTGCATTGCTTTTACGGGGATGTTGCAGCCAAACCGACACGTGAGATTAAAAATTGTCGCGACTAAAGCTCTGGCCAGCTGTCACCCTGCCTACCAGTGTTGGAGGTTAGCAATAGCAAACGGCACGCTGACTTGCACGCCGAATCACAGGGTTTGATCGACCAGGGTGGTGTGAACACGTACTTTTCCTGGAATGTTTAATTTTCAACGTTAATGAGAAGACTTCCATACTGCTTGATATCAGCTCACAATCTCTCCGCGGCCGCACGCGAACCTCGACGGGCAGGGCGGAGTGTTGGCCATGTACGCGACAGCAGTGCTGTCGGTCGTACACTCTAGACGAACGGATTTCATCTCCGGGTATCATTAGCACTGTTCTGCCACGTCCTTCCTGCTCCGGCCTGCCTTTTGAGGAACCTTTTTGTTCCAGGCTTGGTCCTGTACGCCCACGTCCGGATCCTGCTTCTGTCCTTTCCAGTCCCTCACACGACTACTAACTTAGCACGTTATCAGTGTAAAGCCCTCTCGTCGCTTTTTTGACGTCAGTGTCTCCGGCACGTCTTCCAGTCTCGAGACCTTTCCATCCTCTGCTGACCTCGCCGTGTCCATGCTCAGGATAGCTGGCCCCGTCCACCGCTGTCCAGCCCTACCACAAACTGACCCTATCCTGCCTCTGCCCAGAGTCTCGTCAGTCTGGCCTGGCCTAGCGCTGCCCGAGCCTTCTCCAGCCCGGCCCCCGCCCGGCGCCGACACTTGGGCCCGCCCAGCTCGGGACCCGCTGCCCGAGCTGCCCGCGTGGCACGCGCGCCTGGCGCCTCGTGCGATTAGTTCAGCCTACTGAGACGGCCGGCTGGCGGGCCGCGCCGGGCGCGCGCCGGCGGTGCACCTGCGCCCGCCGGAAGTGCGACCCCGCGCCGCCCGAGCGTTCCCCCCTCCCCCCCGCCGAAGAGAGGGGGGGGGGACGCCGGATGTGTAGCCAGCAGCCGCCTGGGCGCGGTGTGTACCGTGTCCAATCGGCGCATTAATAGGGCCGGCTGGGCACGAGAGCTCGGCACGGGCTGGCGTTTCTAAGCCGGGCGTGATTGTGGAGTGCTCTGGGCACCAGAGCTCGGCACGGGCTGGCGTTTCCAAGCCGGGCGTGACTGTGGGGTGCTCTGGGCACCAGAGCTCGGCACGGGCTGGCGTTTCTAAGCCGGGCGTGATTGTGGAGTGCTCTGGGCACCAGAGCTCGGCACGGGCTGGCGTTTCTAAGCCGGGCGTGACTGTGGAGTGCTCTGAGCACGAGAGCTCGGCACGGGCTGGCGTTTCTAAGCCGGGCGTGACTGTGGGGTGCTCTGAGCACGAGAGCTCGGAGCGGGCTGGCGTTTCCAAGCCGGGCGTGATTGTGGGGTGCTCTGGTCTCCGCTAACGGTAGGCCGTTCGGTTCAGCTCCCCGAGCGTCACGCGCGGTGAGCCATGCTTTGCAGTGGGCGGCGGAGATCGTGCGTCTCACGCCAACGATTCATGGGCGCCTTACTGCTTTGAAATAAAGAAAAATGCACGATGGGCGACGAATGGGAGATTAAGCAGTGTAACTGTGTTTTTAGTGTACGTCGCATGCGTGGTGTACTTCCTGATTTCCGCGGCATAATCGTGTACACAGCGCTGGCGCCTTCTATGCACGTCGCGCATTTGTGAAAGAGCGGCGGGGGCCCTTCTTAACAGCCGGCTGAGTTTCTGCTGAACAGCCGCGCCAATCTGCAAGGTATTGTCTTGTCTCTATTGGTACCGATATCGAACGAGCCAATTTCTGAAATACTGGAGACATTACAACTGCTCCCATGCTCTTAGCACCCAATTGAATATTCAGAAATTTTGGTACTGGTCTAAATGAATCTCTTTAGTTTGCTAACAGCTCTGTATGCTTGCAATGATGCCTACGATGATAATATGCAATAATGACCAAAAGTCATGTTCTTCTGCCTACAAGGTCGCCAAAACTGGTGCTCACTGTCACAAACATCATCGGCACTCAACATTATAGTGGTTCTAGCAATTCGAGAGTGACTGTGCGCATAGTGGTTAATCATGGCACGTACCACGGATTCGGGAAACACGAGACGTTGTTACCAACCATTTCCGAGAGGACGGTAACATTTAAGACCGCTGAAAACTTAAAGTCAGCAACCAGCCTAGCCGTGTTGGTAAGGCAGCGTTTGACCACAGCTACATTACTCAGCCTTCGTTTCTAGTGTTCAGTTCAACCAGGTCATTTTTCGGGTAAATTATCTATAGATATCAGCATGTACACACTGGTCAGGCGCTCGGCTGAGCGCGATCGTGTGTTAAAAACGGTTTCTATTTGCAAATCGTCGCTCGACTTAAATCGCCGGCACCTTCCACTGCAGTTAGTTGGCTGCGCATTAGTGTGCCTTACGTAGGGCTCGTGACATGTATTCACATGGGTGGCTCGCGCCGTGCCTCGCATTTTGTCATCCATATAGCATAAGTCCGTTAATATATGAACACAAATTCAGCAAACTCACCACGTGGGCGTACATCGCCCCCGCCAAGGTCGACATTGGCAGCCCCAAGCAGATGGCATTGCCGGTAAATCCGCCACGGTGCGGCTGGCAGGCCGGCAGTGCCGGATACCTGATGGCTGTGTCACGCGCAGCTGTCACGTACAGCTGATGAATCGGAGGTGGGCATTATTAGTCAATTGCCCAAACAGGTGAACCGTGCGCGGCATTGGCGGGCGGTAGCATGGTAGCCGGCTTTGACCTGAGGCATGACTGTGGTTGGCGCGTGCCAGACGGTCGGACTACACTGCATGAGTTGAGACAACCAGACAGGACATCCCGCGTGGGCCCGACCACATCGTACACATCGAAGGTGACAACACATAGATGATGCCGGCCCGTTTGTAGGCAC